AGAAAGAAGAGCTTCTCAGTGAAAAATATTATTTATCCGAGTTAAGTAAATGGTTCGAAAACAAACCGTTAGATGCCGAAATTGACCATGTTGCTAGGGGATCATTCAAGAAGAAGAATGGATACAAAGCTGGAATACGAGGCAAAGGATACGTTGTTAGTGCTTTAGAAGCCGCATTATGGGCTTTTTGGATAACTGACTCGTTTGACGAAGGTGTCCTAAAAGCAGTTAACCTTGGTGACGATACCGATACAACAGCAGCTATTTATGGTCAGTTGGCTGGTGCATACTACGGCTATGATGAGTTACCTTCAAAATGGGTCGAATGCGTCTATTCTAAGCGCTTCATTGAATGCTTATGCAAATGGATCGTATACGAAGGAAGTCAATTCTACTCTAATAACTAATATACATATTGGACATATTGAGTTGAAGATAGGAGTAAAAATTAACTAATAATACAGATCAATTTGTTTAATCTAGATTTTGGATAAATCATTGTATTACTATATCAGTCGTTTCTGGTTCAGAACCTACACTAGTACCGTTATAGTGGTCTCTTAAAAATACACAGAATCAGATACGACAAAGAGGATGAAGGTTTGAACAAGGGGGGAAAAGCGGATTCTCTGGATTGTGCATAACGGCTACAATGAGAGCTCCATAATAACGACATGCATCGTAAGCTCTGTTATCTCCATGAGTAATATGACCACTGATTCCACAGTTTTCAATAGCAACTAATGGTTTTCGATAGAAAAATAGAGGCACAGGTGCCAAACGCATAAGTACACCATTGCCAGCAGCTCCATCTTCGCTACAATTCACAGGAAAGTCTGCGAGAAGTTGCTGATGTGACAGAAAATTCATTCCTTCCAATGGAATATTGTGTTTTTTAGCGAATGCTTTTTGTTGCCTTTCAAACATACGAAGTGCTTTTCTAGTACTCTCACCAATATCAAAGCAGTTTCCTGTCGATGACATATACCCATATCTAAACCACCATTTATAACGTAGCAATTGATCGTATGGTTCAAAACAACGACGCGCCACCAGTGAATTTGCTAGGCAAAGAGCCATGGATCCATCGTCTGTGAACTAAAGCAAGCAGAGAAAATCATGGTAAGACTATTGGACGTTTCTAAATATTTTTTCTAGTTTTCTGTGTTCATTGAATCGAATAGTATCATCGCAATGATATTTGTTTGTTGGTTTATTTTTCTCTGTAGAAAAACGATAACTTTAAATAAATGTAGTTTTTAAAGTATGTAAAATACAGAGGTCGCATTGGTCTATGTCTTCAAATTAGGAAAATAAGCAGGACACGATTTGAGAAAAAAATCAGATATTTCGATAAAAATCAGGACTATAGAATTTATAATCATACTGTTGTCTAAGATAAAGCTTGCACAACAGTGAATAAATTAATGGTAGTTATTGGAAATTACAATGCGTTTTTCTTCGATAAAAGTCAAGACTTATGAAGAAAAAATCAGTCATGTAAGAACATGATTTTCCTTCGAATTCTGTTTTTTTTCTCTTTGTTTGCTCTTTCTAATTATGCATTCAATATGCGTTTTTTGTCTTTCAGGCATGTAGTATTGAGAAGGAGGCACTCCTTATTCTTGGACTTCCATTTTTTTTCTAACCAAAATCGTATTTTTATCAGAAGAAAGATCGTAGAATGAAAAAAGAAAACTCTGCACTCTTGCACGTTTAAAATAGTATATTCATCTTATCAGCACTCGAACAATTTCCTTGTATCACGTCTCCTTCCGCCGCTACCACTTTTCTGCTTCCTCACGTTCCTATTCTTCGCACATATAAAACTACCATGTTATAAACATTTATCTCTGAAAAATGCGCTCCCTAAATTAGACGTTTTTGAGTACCGGGAAATATACCATTGGAAGCATGCGGTGTGTAGGCACGAATCTTCACTTCAACTTGCCTCACATCCATACTTCTCCAACAAGCTCATCCAAATTATGCAAAAGATAGTGAATAGTAACAAAAGTAATTGACAAATGCAAATGCTATCTATAGAAAATGAAGTATCGATGCTAATTACGAAATATGAGAAAATAGAGATTCATTCAATAAACAAATAAAAGAGTTTGCAAAAAGACTTACGTAAATCAACTAAAATATTAGAATAAGGAGACTACAGAACTTGGTGCAACCATACAAACTCAAAAATTGTATGATATTATTACCACTAAACTACTCGAGATAATCGTTAATGATAAAATAACTGTGTTGAAAAATCAATTAATTCAACATAAGCAAAACTTACACTGATTACAAGAAAAAAAAGATGATTAAAATAAGAATAATTGGAGCGCCATCTTTCCTTTTATGGGAAATATTCTATAAATATTTCTATATAAATCTTAAAGAAACGTTGAGTATAATAAAATAACATGTCATAATGACGTATATATGGTCTTGCAGAGACAAATCATGAAAGATCAGAATAAAACCAGAACTTTCAGTCAAAAAAAGGAAACTCAGGAACGTAATATTGTTACGAGGTTTGAAAATATTTAACACATTCAATACTTCGAGATGCTTAGAGAATACAAAATTTTAACTTTTTGATGTAATTTTCACAGTTCGCACTGACTCCAATCAATTGTTACAACAAAAATTTATATTGTTCCTCTCAAATGAACGATATAATATTCAGTCTGTTGTATTACGCCTGACTTCGATAAAATGTTGCCTTCATTATTGATGGAATTGGAGAAAGCTTGCTTTCAGTGAAATACATTGGCAAATGTCTATTGAAATATATAGCGATATATTTCACTGAAAAAAATATTCGTATAGTAATGAACCCGTCAAAAGGGTATAACAGTCTCACATATACCCTTTAAGGGTTTATTCTGTGTAATAAACGCTTCCATAAACC